AGAGGCCAGTGGTCAGTGGGCACAGCAGCTGATCAGCCAGAGTAAATCCTTCTCATTGATGTGCCAACAGCAATTAAGACTGAATTAGAACATAAGTGTGGAGAGTCCATGCTACGGGTGTACCTTGAGGCCCTGCTGGGATGTTCAGGGAGGTTGTGCCACTGGAGCCTACAGCAATAGGCCACACTACAAGCCGAGGAGACATAGCAACTCTACCAAATACGTAGAAACAATCACAGGGTAGCAGCCAAAATGAGGAGACAAAGAAACATGTCCCAAGTGAAAGAAAGTAACAAAATTCTAGGAAAAGAATTAAGCAAAATGGAGATAATCAATCAATCAGATGCAGAGTTCAAAACACTGGTTATAAGGTTGCTCAAGGAACTTGCTGAGGCATTTAAGAAACTTAGTGAGATTTTCCAGGAACTTCAGGAGACCTCCAAGAAGCTTAGTGAGATCATCAACAACATAAAATGGACCTGTCAGGAATGAAGGATGCAGTAAGTGAAATAAAGAATAATGTACAGGGAATCAATAATAGAGTAGGTAAAGCCAAGAAGCAAACCATTAATTTCGAATATAAGGAAGCAAAGAAAACCCAATAAGAACAGCAAAAAAATAAAAATGAATAAATAAATAAATCCAAAAAAATAAGTATACTGTAATGAACCTCTGGGAAAAGTTCAAGTGTGCCACCATTCGCATCATGGGGATGCCGGAAGGATAAGAGAGAGAACAAAAAAAATGAAAACCTATTTGAAAAAATAATGACAGAAAACTTCCCTAACTTGGTGAATGAAACAGACATACAAATCCAGGAAGCACAGAGAGTACCAAACAGGATGAAGCCAAGGAGGTCCGGACTAAGATGCATCATCATTAAAATGCAAAAGTTTAAATACAAAGAGAGAATCTTAAAAGCAGCAAGAGAAAAGCAGTTTGTTGCCTACAAAGGGTCTCCCATAAGACTGTCAATTGATTTCTCAAAGGAAACTTTGCAGGCCAGAAAGGATTGACAAGATATATTCAAAGTGATAAACTTACAACCAAGCATACTCTATCCTGCAAAGCCATCATTTAGAATCAATGGACATATCAAGAGTTTCCCAGACAAGAAAAAGCTATAGGTGTTCATCATCCCCAAACCAGTATTATATGAAATGTTGAAGAGTCTTCTTAACGGAGACGAAGAACAAAAATATGAACAATAAATAGGCAATTAATACATCTCCATCAACAACTGAATCTACAAACAAAATGAGCAAGCACAACAGAAACAGATTCATAGATATAGAGAACATTTTGTTGCTTGCCAGAATGGAGAGGGCTGGTGGGTTGGGTGAAAAAGATGAAGCAATTAAAAAGTACAAATTAGTTATTAGACTGATGAACCTGAAAGGGAAGGGTGGAGGATGGTCCGATGAAATACACCACAAACACTTCTATGCATGTATGCATGGACACTAACAATAGTGTGCAGAATTGAGAGGAGGGGTTCAACAGGGAAAAAAAAGGGGGAACATCTATAATACATTCAACAATAAAGATATGTAAAACAAAAAACAAAACAAAACCCAAAGTGGCTGACTTTTATGCTTAATTTAGTTACTGAAGCTACAAAGCAGGGAGCCTGCAAGATGAATACAAAATGACAGAGGTTCTCCCTCATAAGGGCTGGAGCTCTGGCCAAAATATAATAGGATACTTTTGTGTCATTCCCATTTATTATTGTTATTATTATTATTTAAAATTTTTCTTTAATGTTGAAAGTATTACAAATATCCCCTTCCATGTGAAGAAATGCTCATCATCACTAATTATCGGAGACATGCAAATTTAAACCACCCTCTCTCCCATTAATTACCCTCACATCCACCAGCCTTCATGGTACTACTGTCTATGACCATGGGTTATGCATATATGCATATAAGTTCTTTTTTTAAAAAATTTATTCTTTCCTTTATTGATTTTAGAGAAAGAAGAATTGAGAGAGAGCGAGATAGAAACATCGATGAGAGAGAACTTCAATTGCCTGACTCCGGCAGGCTCCCCATTGGGGATCAGGCCCACAACCTGACAGAAAATCCATCCAGCAACATCTTGTGTCCTGACCGAAAATCCATCCAGCGACATCTTGGTACATGGACCAATGCTCAACCACTGAGCCACACCAGACAGACTAAGATCTTTGATTAATCTCTTTCTTTCCATCAGAGATTCATCAATCTGTTCCCTGTTTCCATGTTTCTGGATCTGTTTTGTTCTTCAGTTGATTTTGTTCATTAGATCCACATATAAATGAGTTCAGAGGATCCTTGTCTTTCTCTGAATTATTCCCTTTGGCAAAGATGTTCTTACAGGCAGAACATGAGGAAAATTTATTTTTTAATTTCACTTCATAAACATCTTCTTGGAAACTTCTGAGATGCTGTGTACAGTGGTTCCCAAACTTCCTGCCCACTGGAACTATTTGGACAGCTTCAAAGTCTACTGATGCCTGCTTGATTCCCACACACACATTGTCATATACTTGGTATGGGCTGCACTCCAGACATGGGGAGTGTTCTTAAAACTAATCTTTTTATATTAGAATAATTATAGATTCATGTGCTGTTATAAGATATACTACAGCAAGAGGCCTTATATCCTCTACCTAGTTTCCACTTATTGTAACATTTTCCAAAACTGTAATATAATACCACAACAGAATATTGACACTGATATGGTCAAGATAAAGATTTCCATCACCACCAGGATCTTTCCCTCATGTTGATTTTATAACCACACTCACTCTCCCACCCACCCTGACCCCCTCATTGACTTCTGGCAAGCACTAATCTGTTCTCCATTTGTATAATTGTGTCATTTCAAGATTATAAAACTGGAATCTTCTAGTATGTACCATTTAGGGATTAGCATTTTTCACTCAGCATAATTCTCTGAATTTGGCCCAAGTTACTGCATGTATCAATAGTTACTTCCTTTGATTACTGGGTAGTAGTCTATGGTATGGATGGATGACAGGTTGTTGAACCATCTCAATTTAATTCAGATTCATGCTTTCAGGCATGTAATGGTATAAGAATACATATGTGACTGTCCCCTCTCATTTCTTTGGGATAAATGCCCAGTAGTAGATTTATTGTGTTGCATGGTAGGTGCATGTTTAGTTTTAAACAGAAATGCTTTCCATTTTTTCAGAGTGGCTTGTGAAAGAAAAGGCAAAAAGAAATTGATGTTGTGAAGAGAGTAATCTAAATAGAAGCCGGGAGGCCTCCAGGAAATTCAGCTAACACACCGCCTGCATGTGTACCTGGACTTCTTCACTGGGCTAAATCGCCAGCCGATACCTCGTGAGCAGTTCCTGCACCTGGCTCTGCAGCACTGACCTCTCAGGAAATGACACTTTGGAGGCGGGGTGGTGGTGTAGCCACGGAGGTTGCAGTGTTGGTGCTTTAGGTACAGAATCTTGGCATTGGGTGAGCCATTCATTGGAACCTCTTGAGTGATGGCACCAAGGGGACTGGGGCCAAGGATGGGTCTATTTTGGACATTCATTGACCAAGAGGAAAGGCGCAAACCGCACCTGAAAGATGGAGAGACTACCCGTTGGAAAGACGTTGCCTGGGACTGCCTTCCAACACCTTTGAAAAAGAGTTTTGAAGACAGACTGGGTCCAGAAAAACCTTTTCCCATTATGGATTTTTTTTTTTTTAACAAAATCCAAGAGCAGAGTGATTTCACCTACGGTCACTACTACAGTAAAGCAGAGCTGCCTCATGAGGCCTCCCTGCCAGGACCCCCAACACCGTGAGCCCCACATCCGCCTGTGAGCCCCTTGGTACTGTCCTGGGGCTGACGGAGCACCACCAGGGCACACGTGCACTCACTGCTCTCCTCAGAGGGAGTAGAAGCTTTCAACACATTTTATTCTCGAGCTTTGGTTGATGGCGGTGTTTAGACCACATGGCACTTGAGGCCCAGTTATGGAGGAGGTCCTGGCTGGCCCGTCAGGTTAATATTTAGACTTCTCCTGAGGTTAGATGTTGTCTAACAGTAACCTCTGCATGCTGTGCTTTGCAAGCCAGGTTGGCCACCTCGGGCACTCACAAATACTGAGGACTTTGGTGACAGGCCACCAATTGAGACATTGCTCCACATGCAACCTGACCTCGGCCCTTGGCTAAAACTCACCAGTAACGTGGGCAGTGATACTGGCCTTGGGCGTTGTGAAGGTTCAATGAAGTAGTGCATTAGGGGGCCTGGTGCATAAGTGTTGAGTAACTGGTGATTCATACCCCCAGGCCTGTTGTGATCAGCCTCACAGGCAGCAGTGCACTGGGCGAGGCCCCTGTTATCAGCTGCCCACAGGTCACGCTAAGCCCTTGCCATTCACCTGGTATATACCCCTATTTTGTACTCACCTTCCCCAACTACACTCATACCTGGAGAAGGCAACCCAAACTTTCTCGACATGTGTCCGGAGTCAAGTTTTCTTAAATACTTCTCTGGTGGTCATGAGACATAAGGCCAACCTGCAGAAGAGATTCCTACATTTCTAAAGGTCAACCTAGACTCATCTTCTGCCAGCTTCAATGCTATTCGAAATTGACCCTTTTCACCCTAACCTCTGTCCCTGCTTCTGACTTCTGCCATTTCCCCCACTCAGGCTTCTCTTTATAAACCTATAACATCTCTCCCCTTTTGGCCTTTCTGGCTGTGGAAATGTTTCTTCCCTTTCCCCCAGTTCTTACCCGTGTCACTTCTCCACCATTCAACTTCCCATTCTTTTATTTACCTGCAGCCTATGATCCCCACTCCACCAAAGAAAAACACAGTTAACAGCATCTCAAAACTCAAAAGATTTTTTATTACTCATTTACTAATACTATTTATAAAATTTTATTCAGTTTTAAAATATATCAACATTGAGAATTGTATCTATCTATCTATGGAAAAACAGCTGGTATCCAGAGAGGTACCAACTCTCCCAGCATCTCTTAAGATGCATAGCCATAGTATTGTGAAATTCCCATTTCTTTTTCCCTCTCAATGAAATACTGCACTTTCCCTAAAGAGGTGTATTTGGCGGCGTTCTCACGCTCTAGTTGGGCCTTCCTCTTCATGGCCTCCCGTTCTGGCCTCTGCTCCTTTGTGATGGGCGTTGACATTACTGGGCCAGAAATGTCGGGTTTCCTCCATGGAATTCGATGCACAGCAAAATCCTGGAGTAGATTTTGGCTTAGAGGCTTGGGTGGCCTCCACGGCGTGGTCAAAGCAGTGCGAACGGGCTCCCGCTGGAAAGGAGCACAAGATGATGTTTCATAGGGCACAGGCCTGGCAGCAGCGGACTGAGGGTCACTGGCCTGGGCAGAGTTGGTGAAAACTGGTTTGTCTGGCTTGGTAGAAATTGGCCGAGCTGCTCTGGCAGGACCTGTCATGGAGGCAGGTGTTGTGCGAGATGAACTGACTGCAGTAGGTTGAGCTGAGTTAGAACCAGGCCTGGCAGGGTTGGGCACAGCAGGCCGACGTGATGCCAGAGACTGTGGTCTGCGAGGAACAGGTTGAGCTGCAGGCTTGTCCGAGGTGGGAAAAAGCAATGGTACCAACTTGACTTTCCCAGGAGGAGGCAGCTGGTATTCAGATTGAGGTGAACACTGTTTTTCAGCACTGCCGACTGGTTTCTGGCGTTTCACTTGATTGTTCTCAGGACCTTTTTCCTCATGCACAGAATCCAGCCTTCGTTTGATAGCTGGGGATGGCTGGGAGCCTTTGGGGTTGCTGGAGTTTCCCAGGTCTCGGGAGGAAGACAGGTCCATTTTCTTATCCACCTTCTTTCCCAGTGGATGGAAAACCTTCACAGACTCCAGCATGTGTCTAGCTAGGCAGCTTCGAGGCTTTTTGAAGGGCTCTTGGGTCAGCTCAGGTTGATTTTTCTTCCGCTTCATCTTGGGAATGGTTGGCTTCTCTCCTGACTTGATTTTGTCCCCTGACAGGTTACCCTCCTCAGCCTTCTTAGAGGTGTTTTCTTTGTTTCTTTTGGTCTTTTCTGGCCCATGGCTCTTAGTTTTGCTGGTCCTGCCAGAGGTAGCCTTCGGAGGTTTGCTGTTAGAATGCTTGGCCATGATGGCTGGAGCGCTGTCAGTGGCTGCACCATGGCTAGGAACCAGTTCTCTCTCAGACACACAGTCTGGGCTCTCAGGCTTGCTGTTGGCTTTGGCAGCACCCCTGATAGGCTCAGAGGCTTCGTTTTTGTTCTTTGCAGCATGATCAGAGGAAGCCTTTATGACACTAGACTTTTTCTGCACCCCCCTCAACTTAGTGTCTCTGATGCCTTTGGTTTTGATTACCTTGGGACCTTTTGATTGATCAAGGTCATCCAAGAAATGTAGGACCTGTGGAAGCTGAATGTTCTCTACCAGTGTAGCAATATCTACAAAGCTATCGTCAGATTCGGTCCCACACTCAAGTGTCCCTTGGTCCTTATTACTCAGGATGTTTTTTCCCAGGCCAGGGTTTTCACAACCAGGCTGCTCCTCTTGGCCAAAGAGATCGATGCAGGCCAACACCTGAGGACTGTCAAGGATTTCTTGAATGAGCCCGGGAGGATCTTGGTTTTCTGTTGCCTTCTGGTGGACATTCAGAGGCTTTGCAAGGTTGGTTGTAATACCCTCCACATTTTTTTTCTCTTCCTGTTCCTGGCTTGGAGGTAGAGGCAGTGCCAGGGGATTACTGGGACTCTGGAGTGGGGCTGCCATTGAAATATCCCCAAGCTCAGGTGGTGAGTTAGTCTCAAGTATATGGATATATCTGCTACTGCAGGGCTTGGGGAATTCTGGGGTTTTCAGTAGACAAAACATTGGGCTTGGAGGTTGCAACCCTAGGGAGGTCTCTAATCCCAAGGAAGTCTCCGTCTCTACAAAAGAATCCAGAAAAATTGAGTCAGTCTTGGTAGGTAAGATGCTCCCCTATCACCAATGCAGCAATCATGCCCTCCAAAAACAGGAAAGGCATTTCTACTAGCACTTCGTAGGCTCACAACCAGTGCCCTGTGACAGGAGATAGGGGGCAAGTGTGCTAGTTCGCATTGGTGGTCATTTGATGTCAGTGTCTCATGGTTTTGTCTTTATCAAGGGATTGTTATAACTCAAATGAAAAGTAAAAGTGTGTGTTTCTTTTTAATATTTTACAAGGCTAGCATTCTCATATGGAATCTTTCAAATCTCTCCACTTTCCTAAATAAGAAGAACAATTCACACCAAACACTAGTGGACGGAATGGATTCTTCCTGTTGAAATATATTAGCAAGGGCAGAATCTTAGCCTGCTTCCTCTGCATAGGATCTTGGAACACACGGTCTTCAATCCAGGTGTAAACTAAGGAAGTGAGTGAAAGTAAAAGTGGCACCATCACAGTAAGAGTTCTAAAATGCCTTTCAAAGAGACTAAAGCAATAAAACACGGAACAGAATGCATTGCATTGTGGTAGTACAGGAGGACTATGAGGAAGGGAAATGAAAAGTGTGGTATCCCTTGGTATGCTCTTAGGGTTCTCGTACATGTAGCGCACACGTCCAGACAATGTCTCTCCTCCCACCTCTATCAGGTGCTCTCCCAGAGCATGGAGATTGAGAGTACCGACTATGGGTGGTAGTTATGAAAGTCACAGGACTTCAAGTCTACCAATGTGTGGACTCACTACTTCCCTGCAGCAGGCTGACCCTATTTTTTAAAACTGACATTTTTCTTTGTTCTTGCTGTTTGTACGTACCTTGAAAACTTGTCTTTGTGATGGATTGAGCAGACACAGAGTGGAAGGTCCCAGAGGTGGAGGCTGGTGGTCTCACATTTGTGGGCTGCATCTCCTTTAGCACCATGACCATTTCTAGTTGAGGGGCAGAGACCCTGCTCTCTGTGTCAGTCACAGAGCCATAGGATTGCAGGTATGGGCCATGTTCTCCAGAGGGTAGAGCCCATTGATTATAGTAATAGACCTGACTTCCCTCCTGGTAAGGAAGTGGCTGGTTATGGCCCTGATTTGGAATCTGAGATGGTGCCCCCTGAACAAGGCTGGCAGAAAGCAATGGATACAGAGGGGCCACGTTATTGCCATCTGAGGTGTTATGGTACTGAGATGCCATAGACATGAAGGAGACAGCTCTGTTCTGGTCAGTGACAGTCACAGTGTAGTCACCGAGTGATAGGAACTTTTGTTCAGGGCCTCCTGTGAGCACCCACTCAAAAACACCAGGATTGGAAGCACCTGAAGTGAAGATCTGGCTCTGGACACTCTCTCCAGACCACACAGCTGAGCTAGCATGTTGGTACAGGGAGGCTCCCCCCATGAGTGGTTGGAAAGAGGTGTCAGAGGCTGAGGGCAGTAGCCATGCTGCACCGGGGGGTGGAGCAGAGACTCTGGAGAAATTGCAGACACTTCCTGCGAAGGAGGCTGCATTGCTCACCACAGGAAGAGAGAGCTGCAGAGGCTTTGAAATTCCGAGCAAAGGTGGATTTTGGAAATTTTCTGTAGAAAACAGGAGAATGATGAAAAAAATCAGTGATATTGATAAACTCTCACTGTGTTTGAAGAATAGCATTATCTGGAGATTATGGTTGTCAGAGTCTCTCATACCAATGCTCACTGAGGTGTCAAAGTCAAAGTGTACGGTGGTTGTGCGTGCTGGGTCAGTGTGCTACTCTTTGGTATTAACTGCCTGTGCTCCCAGCTTGGGGGGAAATGTGTAGAAGACCAAAGTGGTGTGGCTCCTACATTGTTCTCTAGGCTGGAAGCAACTGTTCCCTCCCCTATCTTTCCCTCGAGCCTGCACTAGTATTGATTTGTATGCTCTTTCCTGGAATTGAAGCATTTTAGTACCACGAGTCTTAAGAGAACCTCTGTTCTAACGTTCTTATTTTATGAGTGAGGAAACTGAGGTTCCGTTCTCCCATTCCATTAGTATTATTACCAGGTTACGTAACCTAAGCTTCCTTATCTCCTTGCCAGGACTCTGCTCTGACCATTACAGTACCTCCAGCTGGGAGCAATGGAACTGCCAATGCAGGTCGGCTTTCACACTCTGAGAGAACAGCACAGCTAGGACCATTGTACTCCTCAGTGTCCCGTTTTGCTGTGTAGTTCACATGTTCTTCCCTCGAATTCACATAGAACTCCGTCTAGTTAGTACATTGAAAGGGTCATTCTTACTTTCTTCTAGCCTGGTTTCTGATTCTATCTGAAAACCACTATCAGAGGGTGAGTGTCTGAAGAAGTGCTTTTTGAAGGAAAACATTATTGAAGCTCTCTGATGCCCTGGCCAGTGTGGCTCACTTGGTTGGGTATTGTCCCTTGGAAGGAAAGTCTCCTGCTTTGAATGCCAGTAGGGCACATGTCAAGGTTGCAGGCTAGATCCCCATAGGGGGCGTGTAGGAGGCAGCTGATAGACCTTGCTGTCTCTCTCTAGTTCCCCCTTTCTTCCTCTGTCTCTAAAAAGCAATAAAAATATTTTCTAAAGTATATATATCAAACTCTCTGAGCTTTAGGCTACTTATCTATAAAGTCATTATAATGATAATAACAGTAATAATTCCTACATGAATAAGTTTATATATTACATTTGATTTTTATAAGAGAAGATATAAATTCTGGAAGAGAAAGAGGAAAATCATGAACATATATCACGAAAATAAAAAGAAATATATAGACATTAAATAAGTTGGGGCATGTAGTAGGCAACAAAACATAATAAATTAATAATAAATGAAGTTCTGTTTTATACATAAACTATAAAAGTGAATATTGCCTATTCTATTTTAATAAATATTTTTAACCAAACAACAGCCCATGGTAGTAGGTGACTTTGAATGAATTCCTACCAGTACATATGGAGAAAGAAGATCTATCAGTAAAAGATGCCTAAAGAGCAACAAACTGCACTAATGTGGATGGACGTGAAGCCCCAATATATGTAGAAAAACATTTCAGTACAAAGTGATATAAAGCAGAAAGCAATAACAGTCTAAATGAATTCCATTATCGTGTTCATTCATGTTTTCCTCAATATCGCCCAGCAAGGAACAGATATTAAGTCTAGTATAGGTATATATATTTCTAGTATATATATATATATATAAATATATATATATATTTCAAATAATATAACCACATAACAAAGAGGAAAGAACACTTAACAACTATCACGAAGGTTTATCTATTTATTTTAAAGCCTAGATTGTAATCATCGTCAACATTCAGGAAATGGTCCTATCCAAAACCTTAAAACCCGCTTGAATAGAATCCAGTTAGAAATAAATTAAATGTAGGAATCCCCAAGAGATTCAACAAATTGTTCTTAGATAAATGTGAAATTAGAGTTGTGAAGCTTGAGTCTTTCGCTTTCTCTTTAGGTGGCTAAGACCTAAAAAGAGATCATGGCTTATATCACTGTGCTCTATGTGTTAGGAAAAAAATAACTGTAAGATGAAAACCAGCTTTGACTTGGAACATTTACCACACAGAGGAACTAGTCAATCTGAATCAAATTAGGATATATAATTTTTTTAAATCTTAGTTTTACTTTTAATAGACAAAACATCTACAGAGTGTAAAAATCAGAATGAAGTGAAACATTGAAAACGGTGTTTCATCCAACCCTTTATAACCACCTTGATTAGTCTCTTGTTCATAGGAAACATCATTGCTAAAATACATTTCTTTAATGTTTATATTCAGAACTGTCACCTACCATCGGTGTTCAGAGAGGCAATAGAAAAATACAGACAACTGAAATAGAATGTTTTGATATGCTGCTTTGACTGGTAATACCCTATTCCAGCCTCACCTTCCTTACTACTGTATTAATGGAAGCATTTGCCAACATCACTTTATTTTGCCCTACTCTGAGCAGATTTTACCTGACTCTGGTTTTGCTTCAACTTAAAATCTTTGGTTCCCTTCAACATTCCATTGCAAACTACCTTTTTTTTTTTTTTTTATTTGCTCCTGAGAACTCCTCCAGGCTCGCCTGCTTCATTCTTATAGCTTCCCCTCTTTCATGCTTATAAGTTCCCTCCCTCCTGTTGCCTGTTGGGCTGTGCTGTTGGCCTAAACTGTCTTACACTTGAATACTTGTGCCTCCCTATAGCCCAGGACTCTACATCCTCTCCCTAGTCTCTCTTTTCCCCTAGGTGGATAGAAAACTCCAAGGGGAATATTACTGTTTGAGCAGCATTACGTTTAGAAGACTAAAGTAAAAACATGAGTGCTGGGAGACCATCATACATGAAACAGCAGGTGTGTATATACATGTTGCATTTTCTTCACCACCGAGGTTTTCTGTGTCAGTTGAAACGCTGTCAAGAAGTCTTGGTTTCATTTTCTACATGGGTGGACTTTGAAATTCAACATGAGAAAAGAAAGGGATTAGAGAGAACAACTAATCTAACATCTTAATATAACAAGTGAGAAAAAAAGGTTTTGTGAGTCAATGACTTATCCATTGTCACTTAGCTAGTTAATGTCAAAATCAAAAGTGAAATTAGGTGTCCAGACTTCTAGATACTATTTCCCCCACTAGTCTAGGCTATTTTGACTCTACTCTTAAATTTAGAGGCCAAGAAATATCTAATGAAAAACTTTTAAAAGTTTCTTTCCTTACCTGACATGGTCAGAGAAGAAGAGGAAATATCAACAGTAGATGCAAGGGATGAGGATGTCTCAGTGGCTGGAGCCAGAGAGTGCATGTGTCCAGTATGGAGGTCACTGGTCATACTGGTCACTGGTGAGTTGCAATGATTCAGATTTATTTACATACAACTCCATGGGAACCCCAAGATTCTACCAGGTGGTGGTTGGTTTGGTGGGAGAATGATGTCACGATGCAGGCAGTTTAAAGGGATGGGGAGAGCCAATAGGGAGGTCAGATTCCCAACAGGAAGACAGGATTGGATGGAGTGAGTGGTAGGGGAGCTAAACCAACACCTGAATGGCTGAGCTCTGGGCACAGATGTGCTGGTGGACAAGACAGATGTGATAGTCTCACTTTCCCCAAGGTCTTATGTTAGAAACATAATCTCAATGTTTCTCGTAGACATTCATTAATATAATTCACTTAATCATATAAAGGAGGTGAAAGACTAAAATGAAAGTTTTGAGTGCATTTTGTGGAGAATGATATAGTCCAAGGCTCTTCTCTTTCAGTTCTTCTCCTTGAATCCTACCTTCCTTGGGCTAGGCTAGGGCAGGACAGGTTGGACTTGCATCTGTCCACTCTCCTTTTATCTTCTTTATTGTAGGCATTGCTTCTGAGACAAGCTTTGATCTAGCATTCTTATTCTCATGGATGCTACTTCCTGTCATGGATCTTCTTTCCAGTGTCTGAGGCTTTCCAATATGGACTCTGTCCATTCAGAGCAAATACCAAAGAGCTGGGATTCAGCTGAATGCAAACCTTTTCTCTCCCAGCCATTGGCCACAGTTCGTCTGCCCGTAATTTGCTACCTCTGGTTCGTTGTTGCCATGTGGGCATCCTGCCCTCCTGTTCTTGTACATGTGAGAGACATTCACGATATTTTCCTCTTGCTGTCTCACATGAAGTGGATCCAATGTTGCAGTTACTCTAGTCTCCTCCCCTTGCAAACAGTCACTGTAGAACTTTGGGCCTCTAGGATTCTCTGTCTGCCATGCCTGAGGGCAAGGCCTGGAAAAAATGAAGAGGATGATGGTTAGAGACGGACAAAGCCACTCATGTACAGTAGGGAACCGGGAAGGTAAAGTGTCCAGGACCACAGAGATTCATGTGGACTCGTTGGTTCTTGTGAGAAACAGGTTGACATGCATTGGCCTCTCTTTGTATTCACAGAATTGAGAACTGACATAGATGCAGAAGCTAAACACTGCTGCAAGACACTGTTTGTAAGAGAGGATAACCTTAATCAGATTTTTCAATTTTTTTATTATTATCTTTTTATACTATTCACTGGTATATTTGCAGAATTCAGATTGTTTTTGCACTCTGTATCAATGCTGTGGTTTTTTTCCACATTAGTTTTTCTAGTCAAATTGTTAAGGGTTCCATTTTTTTGAGACATATTACATGTTTTTCTCTTGATGACTTTATTTTGAAGCATCATGAACAAGCTTGATCTGATGGATTTTGTGGAAAAACTTAAAAAGGGGACTGTGAAAAAAGACGACGTGTTGAGTTATACTGTGCACTCAAGCCTAAAGAACAGGTAGATGTGTGTAGTCTGCCCTTCTTGGCCTGGGTTGTCTCTATGTTACTTCCCCTTGTTAGTGCTTTTCTCACTAACCACCTTGTGATTTTGTTAGAGCTGGGTTGCTAATGATTTATCCAGGGTGGGGCAAAAGTAGGTTACAATTTTTTGTATCAATAACAATACAGTAATTAATAAATAATAATGTAGCAGTAAACTGTGTTTCCCTTACTCCCAAATGTAAACCTACTTTAAATGTAAACCTACTTTTACTCTACCCTATATATAGTTTAAGCTGAATTTTTTTTTGGGGGGGGGGAATCTCTGGGTCTAGTCATTTTTCTTGATGGTAAACTTTTAGGCATGCCTAGGTCAGTCTTTCTGGGAACTTTTCTTGTGCCAATGAGGAGGAAATGTGTGATACAAGATATCAAGAACCCACAAGAAGATAGCTCATAGATGAGATTTCCCAATGAGCATGTTTCATTTCTATGCCTAATTTTCGTCTTATGAGATATGAGTTTTTTCAACGGTTGGGATGATGTTTATCTGAGATGAAATTTGGCTGGGTGTTGGAATGTAGAGGTATGGCTTAAACTTACAATTTTTTTCAAGGTTTTTCCCCTAAGCTTCATGCTGCAGCTTGACAACTTCCGTTAAACTATTATGTCACATGAGACTGAAAATATATTCTACATATCTGCAAGCTGGAGCAATTTTTCATGACAATGTTTGGCCCAGTCTCAACAGGACATTGGGTACCTCCTATTTGAAAGGTGGACAAAATTGCTTATAAGGAGGAGATTTGTGTTAAAGTATTACATAACATAATAATTATTTCCCTTTGTAAGTTGATCCTCTATTAAAGGAAGAAGCAGGCTTAGCAAAAGAATTTGAGTCACTAAGTACTGTGAATTCTAGTCCATAACAAACACATGTCACTGCTAGGGCTACCTTTATTCTCCTTTTCATTGTGCTGAATCATAGCTTGTCCATTTTCCATAATAAGAAAGTCCTACAACAGACAAACTCTCCACTTACGAAACAGATTAAGTGTTTTTCCAAAAGAGTCTTTACTTTCTAATGTTTATACTATTGAATCTCACATTAATGATGTGGATATTGAAATACTTTTGATGTTAAAATGCAAGTCCACTCACTTTTTCAGAGATATATCCATTGGGTAAAATATATGTTTTGTGTCAAAGTCCACAACAACAAAAGTTTTCAAGAAAATTAACATTTTCTAAACAGAGCTTGGGATTTAGATAGAAAATGCAACTGTTTCTCCCAAAGTCCTGGTTTTGGGATTCATCCTTCTTATGCATCCTGTATATTTTCATCCACACAGTGCTAGATCCAGTTTTGTCCATTGTTGGAGCCACTGAGTTTCATTCTCAGGTTCCTGGCTATGTCCACTTCCAGGCACAACCAAAGTATCTCTTACTATTTTAATAACTAGACGAGTGTGCACACATGAACACCCCTATATAAACAAGGAACATAACTGAAACGCAATCTTCATGAAACAATATTTAACTTTTCAACGTAGAATACACTCTGATATTTTCTAATTCTTTTTATTTTATTTTTAAAAATTGGTGCATATGACAAACCACTTTAGGATAGTCATGTGTATATTAAACCACAAGATAGAAAATAAAACCAAGATTTTGGTTTCCAAAAACAGTGGATTTGAATCCCAGGTCCACCACTTACTTTGCAAAATATACTCTAGAAATCGCAGTATCCTCACCTGTGAAATGAGAGTAAGAACAGAATCAATCTCAGTCGATCTTTATTAGATTAAGTGAAGGTAAATAGGTGAAAGAATGTCCACTGCAATTCAGGCATTGAGCAAATGTTAGTTCAACTCCATGGACTGTCCAATAAATGCTGTAACATTAACTTTTCGAGACTGTGAAACATACCAAGTATAAGTGCAATGTAGAATTCCAAAAACAGGTAAAGAATTTGCACCCTGTGTTTGTGGAAATAATTGGAAAAATTTTGAGCTACAATTAGGTGAATCTCAGTGCTAATTTCAGTGTTTGAACAAATGCAGCGTAACCACCACAACACTTAGGACTGACTCTGCTCCCTCTTCCTCCTCCCTGTCTGGAAAGTCCTCTGGTTTCAAGGCACCTCCCAGGCTCTCAGGCCCCACATCTGGGAGGTTTCCAGCTCTGTCCTTTTTTTGTCCTTGTGGATTTCCATGTCCATCATTAACTGGAATGTGACTGTGGACATGTCATCTAACCTCTGTGCCTTGGCTTCATGAGCTGAATAATGGATATAATAACCCTAGTTCATGGGGCTGTCCTGAGGATTAAGGATCAATGTGTCCAAGAGAAATAGCACTGGGTCAGAATTATTATGAGATTTTCTTTCTTTCTTTTATTTTTTAAATGTTTTTCCCTTTATTGATTTTAGAGAGAGATGAAGTGAGAGGGAGAGATAGAATCATCTATGAGAGATAACACCAACTGAAGTGCTAGATCAAATGGATTTAATAGATATCTACAGAGAATTATACCCCAAAACTTCAGAATTCACATTCTTCTCAAGTGCACATGGGACATTCTCAAAGATATACCACATGTTAGGGCACAAACTAAGTCTCTACAAGTTCAAGAAGATTGCAATTATATCAAGCATCTTCTCAGATCACAATGGCTTGCAACAAGAAATCAATTGCAACAAGAACATGGAAAGAATTTGAAAACATGGAGGCTAAATAGCATGTTATTGAACAATGAATGGGTTACCTTGGAGATCAAGGAAGAAATTAAAAACTTCCTAGAAAGCAATGAAAATGAACACAGAACAACACAAAAATCTATGGGGTGCAGCGAAAGCAGTTCTGAGAGGGAAGTTCATAGCACCATAGGCCCACCACAAGAAACAAGAAAAATTTCTAATAGACTATTTAACCTCACAACTTAAAAAAAAAAAAAAAAAACTAGAAAGCAAACAAAAAGAAAACCACAGAGCAAGTAGAAGGAAGGAAATAATAAAGATCAGAGCAGAAATAAATGACATGGAGACCAAAAAAAAAAAAAAAAACAATTCAAAGGATCAATGAAACAAAGAGCTGGTTCTTTGAAAAAATAAACAAGATTGATGGACCCTTAGCTAGACTCACCAAGAAACAAAGAGAGAGAACCCAAATGCACAAAATCAGAAATGAAAGAGAAGTAAGAACTGACACCACAGAAATATAAGGATTGTTAATAAATATTATGAACAATTATATGGCAACAAGTTCAACAATCTAAACGGAATGGGCAAACATCTAGAAACACATAGTCTCCCAAAACTGAACCAGGAAGAGATAGAAAACTTGAACAGACCAATAACAACAGAAAAAATTGAAGATGCAATCAACACTCTCCTAGCAAACAAAAGCCCAGTCCCAGACGGCTTCACGTGGGAGTTTTACCAAACATTCAAAGAAGAACTAACACCCATTCTCCTCAAACTATTTCAAGATATTAACAAAAAAAAAAGTAAGACTTCCAAACTCA